CGAAAGCTTCTTGATCGCCTCCACCTGCTCTGTCAGGTACTCCGACTCGAGAAAGTCCGCCAGGTGGGCGTCGCNCTCTGTCAGGTACTCCGACTCGAGAAAGTCCGCCAGGTGGGCGTCGCCGTGCTTCGAGGCAATGGAGTGCAGGTCCAGCAGCGACTGGTTGACCGTCTTCTCCAGCTCCAGGGCCGCCTCCATCGCCTCCAGCGCCGTCGCCCAGTCCTGCTTGATCGGCTTGGGAATGTCCTGGAGGACGATGCGACCGCCACGCTGGTTCTGGAACTTCATGAACTTCTCGGCGTGCTCGCGCTCCTCCTCGCTGGACTCCTTGAAGAACTTCTCAAAGCCAGGCAGGGCGACATCGTCACGGTTAAAGTGGAAGCCCTAGTGTGGAAAGCGAATGTTAAATTTTGTTTTCATCAAAGAAGAGAGGGAAAACTCACCAGCTGCTGGTAGACGTAGGAAGCGTACAGCTCCAGGTTGATCTGCTTGTTGACGCCAGCCTCACTTTCACTGTGGTAGTTTTGGCGGATCTTGGAGATGGACATGATTGGACGAGAAAAAGTTTCTGGGAAAGAAGAAGAAGAAGAGGAGGAGGGAAAAGGTGAAGACTAAGGTTGTTTGCTTCGGGGGCTTACGATCAAACACTGTTGATGCGTAATGGGTCAAGCAAGTCTGGTTGGCTGGCTGGCGGTCGCTGACGAGGCTTTTAATACTCCAGTCGCTCTGAGCTCTCTGGCTAGCTATGCCTCCTGTGCACTGTGGAACACTTTAGACCTACTACTGTGCCAGCCGCACTTGACTATCAACTGATGATGCGGCGGGTGANGTGATTGTAGGGCACATTGCCGCTTCTTTCACTCACCACCACCGATTGATGCTGCTGAGCAGATCATCCCCCATCCCTATCATCGAGCCAGCCATATCATCAAAGCAGTGTGCAGTGTGTGCCCACGACAGCACTCCATTAATGTGCAGTGCACATTGTGCACTCCTCATGCTGCCACCAATTGGTTGCTTTAAGTGCACTCCCAGTGTGTGCACCGCTTGGCACTGGTAGAGTGGTTCAGAACACACACACACACAGGTGCTCTGGCGCCACCATTCACCAGTGGTTGAACTGTGGTGAGAGTGCAGTGCAGTGTGGAAATGAC